TCGAAGCAGTGTGCACATGGAGAACGCAGCGAACGCAAAGTGAAATGCGTAGGTAGAAAGTCTAACTTTTCCTTTTCAAACCTCAAAGACTACTTGAAATTCAAATAGCTGAAGCCAAGGAATGACGAGGGTTATGAGGGACCGTGTAGAAACTTTGCTTTGGTGTTTATAAGCTCCAAACTGGCAATTTTACAACACGTAAGCTCAAATATTTTAATTCATTCATTCACTGTGCACAGGATCGCTTACAATTTTTTTTTCCAAACGTTGGAATCCCTCGTCCCTTTCAACGAAGTCATTTTGAGTTTTTAGACGTGCAATAAACTACCGCGAAGACGCTTAATTTATTGGTTTTACACTTCTCAGCCGTACTAGGTTTGTAGTTCGCGTTGCTTAAAGTTGAATTTTGGCGGGCTAAGGCGACGTACTCTCCCCAAGCCTCGTCAACCACGATAGCCGTAGCAGCGACAGCCGTAGTGATTTGCTTAAACTCCCTATTATTTCGCCGGGTGCGGTCACGAGACTGGAATTGTATCTCAGCTTTCATCTACATTGCAGTTACCATGTAACAAAACCCTACTCTATTCCAGGTACCAGTAGCGTTTCGTTGCAAAGGAACCCCTCTAGCTTATGCCAACACGAGACCACATCCGGGAACAACAACCAACGCGGTAAGCACCCCTACTCTTGAAAAGGACATGCCGTATTTCCTCGAACGAGCACCTCTCTCGAATAGACGCCTCCCTCGTCCCCCTTTCTTAACAATAGGGATACACGGAAACCTGTTTCTACTACTTCTTTATTTACAACTTTTTTTAAGCCTCGACTACCGTGGAATCAGCCCAGGATTAAGAGCCCTCCTTCCCATAAGCGCCCCTAATTTAAGCCCAAATTTTAATTAAGTGCCCGAACGCTTATTCGAGGAATACGGTAGGATATAATAGTGTCATATTGCGATAATTTTTAACTTCCCCTAGTACGCCATGGACCTGTTTAGGAAAATGCGGCTCTCCTAGGTGATGCGTCATAATAGTCTCACAGCACCAACCTCTGGATTGAAAATTCCAGTTTCCAATTGTGTTTATGAGCAAGACACATTACTGAGTCTCACTGTGCCTCTCTCCAACCAAGGATACAGTGGCGGAGCCAGACCTCGTGCTGAGGGGAGGGGGGAGGTTTTTTTTGTGTGTGTGCGCGTGTGTATGTGCACCTGCCGCCTTTTCTTCCTTCTGCGACTTTGTTTTATTCAAAATAAATGAGGGTGGGGGGGTCCCCGGGCCCCTCCCCTAGACCCGCCTAAGGATATAACTCTGTGTCAACGAACCACCAAAGAAACCTAACGACATGCTAAGCATGCCATATAGCGATATAATGCGATGAGTGTAAGTTGTGGTCTAACTGTTTCCTCTAAACAATTCCTTTCAGGGATTAGCAAGCATCGGCGAAATGGATTATTAGCAACAGTGACCGACTTCTCCCTGTAAATTGCAACGCCTCTTTAAGTACCTGAAAGATCGACAAGAAACTCTGCAAACACTTTCTGGCGCTCATTACTTAGCAACCAGACTTTCCTCTTTGTCCGCTAGGCAATGCGAGTGGCTTGCTGTGCAAGGAACGAAAAATCTATGTCTAAATGAAATTATGACTGTGTTGATAACGGTTTTAAATCTATTTGTTCAAGCGTTGTGTTGAACCAAAGATTTAAGCAAAGCAATAATGTTTACAAGAGAAATTTGCTCACTCTCAGCGAAACATATTAATGAAGCCAAAAATGTCGCTACATGGAAAAGGAAAGGTATTGCCCAAATGGATTGAGGACAGTGATAATTAGTTTGGTAGAAATAAATTCCGAAAAAAAAAAAAAAAAGAACAAAACCTGGCAATTTACATAAAGTTCGGTGTAAAATTTATTTTAATTACGGAATTAAATGCTGAGATATCGATGTTGAGAGTTCATTTTGTTTTCTGCTTCTTCTGCGTCTGAGCCTCGTCGTAAGCCTTTCTCTTAGCCTCAAGTTTTCTTACCTATAGTAAAATACAAAATATTAACAACTTTGAGCAGCGTATAGCTGGTCATAGACCACTTTCATAAACGGCTGCCGGATTAAAATTCTTCTGTTTACATATAAATTTGCCTGGGTGGCCTCGTTCTCCAGTATAAAATTCAAAAGAATACATTATCTCAAGCGGGGCCACTCGGGCAAATTTCAGTTTAAACAAAAGAATATTAATCCGACAGCCATTTATGAAAGTGGTCTATGGACTGGCAGCCAAAGACAGGATCTTGTTAGAGAAGTCTTTCTTGTTCAAATTTGAAATAAACTAGAAGAGTACTTGTTTGAATACTTAATTACCTCTGATCTCTTTTTCTTTTTGGAGTGCATTATTTGGTCGTACAGTCGTTTGTCTTTCTTTTTCATAGCCATGATTGCCAGGTTCTTTTCTTCTTTACTGAGTTCTTCGCTAGGCGTCCCTGAACAAGACGTAACACGTTCAAATAACTACAGTTGAACCTCTCCCCAACGGCCAATTAGGACAGAAGAAAGAGGCCGTTGCAGAGAGGTTTAAATGAATGTATGGATTGCCAGCCGGGACAAAAAAAAAAGTGGCCGTTAGTGGAGGTTTGACTGTAGCAAACTTATAATTTCCCTTCCAATCCATCACACTTGGACCAAAATAGAAATTGCTGCACCCGACAAAGGGCAAGTTTTGTATCTGATTGTTTCAAGGGAGAGCGCGATTGTTATGGACCAATCAGTAAGCGAAATAAGGCAAATCCAAAGTCATCCCTTGTTGCTTTCAGTACTCGATTGAAAATTGCTCTGTCCCAGCGACAGCGCGTTCCTCACGAGAATGTGGGTTATTCTTAATCAAAAAATTGCTAAGATGATCAGCTCGCTCTGGTTACTAAAAAAAATACCTTTTTTTGTACATATAAACCCAAAGCTATTCAAAAAAACAAGCCATGAACCGCACCTTCAAACGGTTCAACGGCGTAATGACCCACGCGAGATGTTGAGAGAACCCTCAACTTTGTAAATAACTCGTCTTCGGTTCTTGACAAACTATCTTCCCCCACGTTCTCCCAGCGTCCGGCGTGGGTTATTGTGCCGGTAAACGGACAAAAGTCCCGTCTATTACATAGTTACGCGAGTACCGATCAAACAAATGAACTAACAAACCAGAGTTAATAGAGGGTTCCCTCTATTAACTCTGAACAAACAAACCAAAGTACAAAGAGTAACTGAGGAGTTGAAAGGTTAAATATATAAACATGTGGAACGAACGACAGCACAAGTTCATCCCCCTAACTTTCTCACCCTCCTCTTTTTCTTGTTCAGCTTCGCTTTCACCCTCTCCTGTCTGCCTCTGTTCTTCCAGCATGGCTTGTCTCTCAGGAGGTACATAGTCACCCTCTTGTTCTTCCACAAACGGGGACAAATGGGGAGGAAGTTCAACCCCTGGGAAATAATCCTCCACAGGGAGAAGTTTACGGCAATTCACGCAGTCGAAAACCCACTGAGGTTGGACGTAATACCTGGAGAATATGAAAAAGTTTAGAAAACTTTGGCCCTGATAATTTGATGTTATATCAGACAATGTTCACTAGTTGATGTACTTTATTCTTCTTATCACTTTTTTCCTTAATACAGGGTTGATACTAAAAGGAGAAATTCCCTGTTGGTTACTGCTGGGAGTGACCAACTCGTAGAAGATAGTGTCCTTCCGTTCTTATTATTACGTCGCGAAACACTCCTCTCAAATAAAGGGGTAACGGAAATGTTACGTGATATTCTAAAAAACGGTTGCAAAGGAGACTTAACAGAAAGGCGATATTGTAAGAACGCTTGTTTTAGATCTGACAAATTTCTTGTCACTGAGAATCTACAAATCAGGTACAAACCTGGATAGATATCTGTGTCCTTGAACTGGTCTGTCTACAATCTGATGGGTTATTGAATCACAATTCTCCTCAAACGTGGCTCCTATGGCTTCTGTACTTTGCCAAGAGATTTCCCCTCCAAAACACCTGTCATCAAAACAAAACAAGGAATTTGAGAAAAGTTACTGCATCCAAAATCTCTCCCCCCCCCTCCC